TATTGCTATCATTCGAGGAAGTGTTTGCCTGTTTAACAAAAGCCTCCTGTTTGGTGCCGGGCATCTGTGCTGGCCCAGGAGATGCCAAAGAAATGCTCATATCGGAGAAAAGGACACTTAAGGGGATACACATCATAAATACCGCACGGACTCCTGGGCCCGTGTCTGCAGGATGCCCTTGTCACACAGGGGCATTAAACAAATACTTCTCAGAGCAGGGAGAAGGAAGGGTCTGTCCAGCAACAGTGAGTTTGGCTGTCAATGAATTTAACTGGGCGCAGCCCATGGCGATTTACAGGCCACAACGACATCGGTTGCTTAGAACCCCTGAGGCAGTCATGTGGGGAGAGGGGGTTGGGAAGGACAAACCCAGTTATAGTGGATTGGACAGCAAATGGCTACCAAAATCAAGCTGAATCAATTCTATTCTTTCCCTTAGGAGACACAAAGACCTGATTCGTTCCGCATCTAAGAACCTGAAGGTCACAGCCTTTGGGTAAGAGCCACCATTTTATTGGGCTTTGGAGGCACAGAGAAATCTGATCTTGCAAAGAACGAAACTGATGTGCTCCCCAGGTCCCCTCCCTAATCCGGTCTCCAACCTCACAAGGCCAGGTTTCACTTTCCGCCTTGGGAATCCACGTGGGACACCGTTGAAAGATTTCCCCGCAGCCTATGAAGCCCCAGACACGTACGTGACCAGATGGATCGGGGCTACGTCGAGGGTCCGATCCAAGGACGAACAGTGAGGTTGTGTCTGAGAAGGGACAATGAACAGGGTGACAGTTGAAGCCCTCGGCCGTCCCCACAGATCCCGCACAGGGGTCATCTCAGAGCACACTTGGTCTCCCAACTACTACCGAAACCCAAGGGTCTGGGGCTAGAAACCAAAACAAGTAGCTAGGAGGACAGAAATAGACCTCCCAGCTGGCAAAAAGCCTCCTGGGTATCCTATCTCTCGGTAGCTGCTGGTGCATGCAAACCCCTGTAACAGTTCACGCCCGCCCTGGAAGCCCGAGCCCCGAGGAGCTGAGCTCAGCGGGTCCAGCGGGGGTCTGCGCCATGCCCCCACTCCCCAAAGCTGATGTATGCACCTGCTGCTATGGAACTTGCTTCTCGGCTTTACCATCACCTGCCCTTTCTCTGTTCTGACTCCCGCACAGGACCTGACACAGAGAAGGTGCTTCTTGCCAATGGGAAAAAACTTCTCCTGCAGCTAGAGCAGAACTCTTTACCCTGAGGTTGCCCGACCAGCAGTCCGGGGATAGAATTCAGGGGCCACGTACTAGGATGAGGATCAAATGCATCTCTGTGTTCAGTCTAACTGTGGTTTAGCACACTCTTCCGTTTAAGCGTAGGCAACGAACCCCGATATCACCGGTTGGCAGATATCTCAAGATATTCTTATGCTTATCACTACCTAGAAATTCTGTTGAGATCTGCCACTATTCAACTTAATAAAGAAGCATAAGCTATTATGTCACACAGTCGTCACATTTGGGTAGTTACACGTGACTCTAATGGAATCCTCATATCACACGTACACAACTGTTACTGCCTCACTGCCTGCCAGCCTCCAAGGTCACCCGCCCCGGTCTACACTACAGGCTCCTCACAAAGGCACTCACTCGTCTTCCATCCTCTGGCGTCCACACTGGCCCCTTGGCTGGGAATGCCTTCTTGCCCTTCTCCGCTGTGCTAACTAACTCCTTGCCATTCCAAATCAGTTTCTGAAACGACATGTATCCACTCACGGTACCATAATGCAGACTTCAAGTTTTCAGTGAGTAGCACGCTCTAAGAAACTCCTCCAGTGAAGATAAGCCAATACCAGTAACAGCACAATAGCTATTTAAAAGGGGAGGTGGACGGGGCGCCTGGGTGGCTCAGTTAGTTAAACGTCCGACTTCAGCTCAGGTCATGATCTCACAGCTCGTGAGCTCGAGCCCCACATCAGGCTCTGTGCTGACAGCTCGGAGCCCGGAGCCTGCTTTGAATTCTGTGTCTCCCTCTCTCTCTTCACCACCCCCCCTTTTCAAAAATAAACATTAAAAACATTTTAAAAAGGGGAGGTGGGCTTGAGCAGAGGCTGCGTTTAGTACTTCCTTCCACAGGACGAGTGTGGGACAGTGGAAGAAGTTAACAGGGCAGTGGAGAACCCTGGGAACCACAGGCTCGGCCAGGTGCTCCAGGTCAACCGCATCCGGGGTAACTCTTCCGTTGATCCGTCATGCTGATCACCTGGCACTTTGCCTCTGTGGTCTTCGTTCCAAAAACCCACTACCCCAGTTGAGCCATGAGAAAAGTACCACAGAAACCTTAATCGAGGAACATTCTACAAAATGCCTGACGAGGGCATCTCAAAAAGGTCATCAAAAGCCAGGAAAGTCTGAGACACAGTTATAAGCCAGGGGAAGTTAAGGAGGCATGAGGACTGCATGTAATGTGGCATCCTGGATGGGATCCTGGGACGGAAGCTAGGGAAATTCCAGTAAAGTGTGGAGCTCTGTTCATGGCAATGTGCCAGTGTTGATTTCTTAGTTGTGATCAATTACAATAAAGGAAGATATTACGAATCGGGAAACTGGGTGTCTATGGGAACTCGGCGCTAGGTTTGCAATTGTTCTGTAAATTTGAAACTAAGCCTAAAAAGCCTAAATAAAAATGGGAGGTGATACTAAAACCTGTTGTGTTTACTTTTTTTTTTTAATTTTTTAATTTTTCAGTGCAGTGGAAACACACATTATAGCAGTTGTCACTGGCTGTGAGAAGGGAGTGGTCTTATCACATGCTTTCCTGTAATAAAAATAAAACGTAAAAAAAAAAAATTTTTTTTTCCCTTCTAAATATAGCTTGAAAAGCTTTAACCCTTTGTCACGGTGCTGGCCCAAGGTACTGAGCCCCTGAAATGGGGCTGGTCTGAATTGAGAGATGCTATGGTGTGAAATACTGACTGTTTTCTTAGTATAAAGACGGTGAAATACCTTAGTAGATGTTATATGGATTCTATGTTGGAATGGTAATATTTTGGATATGCTGGGGTTAAGTGAAATATATTATTAAAATTAATTTCATTTGTTTCTTCCTTTTAGAATGTGGTTATTGGAAAATTTACACTTAACATCTGCAGCTTGCTTCATATTCTTATGGGACAACAATGCTCCAAGACAGGTGTCAGGAAGTCCCAGGTAAGGAAGGACCCCTCCCTATACGGTGGGGCTACACACACACACACACACACACACACACACACACACACACACACACGATCTCTCAGAGGAAAAAGACACAAGCCACTGCAAAGTTACAAATTTATTGGTCTGGAAATAAATACAAATATCTCATTAAGAAACTCCTCTGGAAAGCCTTGTACACAACATTTTTTCCTGTCTGGATTCAGCCACTCCTGCCCTGACCCCTGACCTTTCTGCACAGGTCAGGGGAAGCCTGCCAGGTGGCAGGTGCAGTCAACTGAGTCACTGCCCCTCAAGCAACCTAGAAGCCTTGAATACTTCCTTCTACCAACTCTAGGGTCCCAGAAAGCACCAGGCCCCAGCGGCTGATTCGCAACGATCCATCCACTCTGATCAAACTTCCTATAAGAAATGGTTAGCCAAATGAAATCAAAAGGCAGTAGTATAGGAATTTGACAGCTATGCTCACATTGCCCAGAAATGTCAGTGGTGCCGCCCCATTCGGCGAAAGGTTAGAGGGGCAGGGAAGAGGGGACGGCAGGAGAGGGAAGGAAATCCCATGGAACTTTCCAGAATCCTTACATCTTCTCAGCCACCACTCCCTGGGTGAATCCCCACCCCCTACAAGAGCAGAACAGTTCTACCCGCAGATCCAGTGATGTTACCAGGTCAGAAACACTCAGCCGTCAAGTTCAGACTCAACCCCGGTTGTCAAAGATTGGAAACCGGATTTAACTCAGTCACACAAGATTCCCGGGAACCAGGGCGGGATCGACTGCAATCACAATTGTACTGGATCCCATCACAACCACAGAAATCCCTTATATCTAATAACCCAAACAGCACCCCCCCCCGCCCACTCCCCTGCCCCTGCTCCCTCCCCACCCCACCCCCACCCCACCCCACTGCGTGGAGACTCATCACGTCCAGGTACGGCTGTTTGGAATGTTTCCCTCCGTTTCAAAGAAAGCAAGTGCAAACCTAAATGATCTTCCCCACAAACAACATGATCCCTCACTCATGAACTTGGGGTAGGAAGCCGGGGCTGTGGAGGAGGCAAGACAGCTGAGCCAAAGACTTGAATTCATGACGCCAATGTTTGCCAAGACTGTTTCTCTGGGAAAGCCCGGAGATTTTGTCGCCCGCTCTCACCACCCGTTGAAAGGACGCCAGAAAAGCGGGCTTGTGTGTTTCGGCATTAAAAAGTGGATATATACGCGAACTTGAAAAACCTACTTCTTCACGTTTCACTGCGGAGATTTGTTTCCCCAAGCGTTCTAGCCTCCACAGAAAGTCCGCCTTTTTCCCGCTTCCTGTTTTGCCGAGTTAAAAGAGCTCCCCACCATCCGCGGCTCTCCCCCTACCCAAATCAGAACGGGGTTTTGTTTCCAGAAACTGGGTCAGTCGTTCTTTAGTTGGAGAGGAAACAGGAAGTAGAGGGGCTGGGCTTCCGACAAAATGCCCGTTAGAACCAGCCTAGGCCTGGCTTTAGGAAGCGTCTAGGGCGGCGCGTCTTGTTTTTGGCAGTTTGGCGTCTCTGAGGGAGGGTAAGAGGGTGGCCGCCAGGCCACCCGCCAATGAGCACAGGACACGGAGATGCTTCTTTTCCTTTGGTCTGCCCGCCCTGCCCTGATGGGAGAGGCGCCCTCGACAAACCCGGTCTAACTTTGTCCCCCCAGAGCTGTCTTACACCGTAAGCTTTGGGTTAATACGAGTTACGTGTGGTGTGGCAGGCAGGGCGGGAAGGGCTGCAGGAAGGGCGGTTGCGTGAGCCCAGAGTCCGGGGACGGCCACGGCGCAGGCCGCCTAGCAGGACACCTCCATGGACTTGGGCCCGGCGCTGTTGCCGGTGGCCCCGGAGTTGGGGGTGATGTCCAGGCGAGCACCCTCGCTGGTGTGGGAGCGGCTGCGGGTGCCCTCGCTGGTGTGGGAGCGGCTGCGGGCGCCCTCCAGGGACGTGACGCTGGAGCCGGAGGCCGTGCGGGAGCGCATCAGGCGGGTCATGCTGGCCGAGGGCACTGGGGAGAGAGGGGTTGGGGGGCACCGGGTTAGGGAGGGGAGAATCTCAGAGGCACCTGCCCGTCGGCAACGGTGCCTCCTCGTGCCTGACCTGTCCATCCTTGGGGCGATCCGGCCACCAGGCTCTCTGTCCTCCCTGTATCCGCTCACAGAGGTGGACAAGTGAGGCTCTGACGGGGGTAAGGACCGGCGGCCACACAGTGGCTTGAGCCCACAGGTGGGTCTGAATCCCAAACCTGCCACTTGCTCCACAGCTGTGTGACTCTGGAAGAGTCCGACTCGGAGCCCTCTGTCACCATCAGTAACATGGGAATGCCAGGCCCCTGGCATCAAAACCCACGTGTGTGCCCGTGTACCACAACCCCCTACCACCCACAACCTCTGGAGTGGGGAAGATCATCCAGGCCGGCTGGGCTGATACCCATCCGCCACAGGTGGGGGAACCACGGCCACACAGCAAGTCTGCGGCCCAGCCATCACCTGCCATCTCTTCCAGAGAAGCCTGTGAGCTTCCAGGAACGATCAATGGCACCGTCCACTCTTTGGGACTGAAACTGCCCTTGCACGTAGCGGGTGGCTGAGAAAGTGAAAGGAAGTACAGGACTGAACCCTGCCCCTCCCCCTCCCCCCCCAAGTCATATCGACCAGAATCTTAGAATGGAGATAGGGTCCTTGCCAATAGGACAAGGTGAGGCCATACCGGATTAGGGTGAGCTCTAATGCAATGGCTGGTTCCTCGGAAGAGGAGACAGAACAGCCCTGCAAAACGCACACGTGCGTGCACACACACACACACACACACACACACACACACACGGAAGAAGGCCACGTGACCACAGAGCAGAGATGGGAGTAATGTGGCTACAAGCCAGGGAACACCAGAGACTTCCAGCTCCCACCAGAAGCTGAGATGAGGCAAGGAAAGAGCCTTCTAGAACCTCTGAGGGGAGTATGACCCTGCATCTCTCTTGATTTTGGACCTCTGGCTTCCTAGAACCCTAGCAGTATGAGAGAATAAATTTCTGCTTTTTTAAGCCATCCAGGGCGTGGGGAGCTCTCAGGGCAGCTACAGGAAGCTAGCACATCACCCAAATAAAGCATCACTGCGAAGGCCACGCTGAACAACAGACATCGCCATCTGAGGTGGCACATTATTCGCCCCATGGGCGTGGGAGTTGGCTTTCTGGGACACAAACCCACAAAGAGAATTCATCCTTGCTGTACTGAATTCCCTTCTCAAAGAGCTAGTGTTTAAATCCAGAGAGAACTGAGATCATTCTCACCTCTGCCACTCACCTACTCCTCAACCCCAAATCTGAGAGTTTGACCGACCTTGGCGGGGCTCTGGTGACTACAGAACGGTGTCACGGGGGCAAAGAGCTAGCCAGGCCTGGCCCAGCTTGAACAGGCAGGCACTCGAGTAGACGACGACGCGCTTTTTCTGTGGCTGACGCCTCTGGGACTAAATGCCTTCCTGCCGTCTTCCCCTGTAACCTGCCGGATGCTTCAGCTTTCTGGAAATAGAAGCTGGTGTGTGTGTGTGTGTGTGTGTGTGTGTGTGTGTGTGTGTGTCGGATGGAACAAAACCTGCCTTTCACTTCCTTTCTCCCCAGAATACACTTTCAAGGCAGAAATCCAAACCCAGGGCAGGCCCAAGACAAACGAATCATGACGCACGCCCTGCCAGGTAAATGAAGCCTGCCCAACGGCATCCTTCAGGCACCGTCGCTGCCCGCACACTTTCCTGTGGGGAAAGCGGATCAAAAGGCAGGAGACCCACAGGCAGATGTTTTCTGTTGGGATAGGGCACCTCGGGACACAGACTCTGCCCGAAGTATATAAATCAGGCTCAGCAGCTCTTGGCCTCTCTAGAAACTAAACACGGCTGAGGCCAATCTTAAGACTGTGGTCAGTTTACCAAACACACCATTACTATTTTAAATGAACAAATAGTTTCAGTCTCAGAGGGGGAGGAAAAAACCCAGAAGAACTCAGACTTCCTAGTTAAGATGGGCACGTAAATTATAATTCTACACAGTAGGCAGAAAGAGCCAGAAGGACCCCATCATGGCTCACACATCAACGGGCACCACCTGTGGCTGGAACCCAGCTCCTTGAACTCGGCATTGCCTGTTCTGGTCACGGGACTGCATTTATGAACAGGGGCTGTAGGCGTCCAACAAACTATAGTCATCAAGTGAGAAACCGCAAGGTCTTGAATTATGCTCGTATTTATCCTTCAATTTCCTAATCTAATGAGTTAGCAAAGACGCACTGTCTTGAGCAGAAGCGACTTTCTCACCTGCTGGCACAGAAGCTTTACAGTTTTCAAAGAACTTTCAGAGATCCCCACTCTGGTCCTTGCTTCAGGTCTCAAAGCCTAGGGCCATCATTTGTGAAACGAGAGAAGGGTATTCTCATAGAATTGTCGCGATGACGAAAACGAGAAAAAATGAAGGATGTACTAACACTCTTTCATCATCACCCGCAACACCATCATCATCACCTACAACTGGAAGTCTCTTAAGAAAGCATGTAGGCAACAGGTAAAAGGCTTTCATGGCTTCACTCTTGTCTTCTTGGTGCTTAAAGAGCTAGTCCTCAGCTAAATCTAAAGAAAATTCCCTGCTGTCAAACAACTTTTGCTCATCAGTGCTCAGTGGAGACAGAAGAAGGCACTGTGGTATAAAGGAGATACTAGAATTTCTACGCTGCCCTCCGTCCTCCACACACCTAAATATTTCTTCTCCTGACCTTCCTAGTTTGCAAAAAGCTGAAGGTGGCCAAGGTGACACAGAATACTCAGCCAAACCCGGTTCGGGTCATCGTATTTTCAATTCCCACACCTGCCCTCCACCTACCACCTGCTTGGAAATGCCACACTTACTGTATCCCATGCCCTGCACGAAGTACTTGAAGGCCTCCGCAAGCTTGGCCGGCTGCAAGAGACAAAAAGAGAGAGAGTGCGGTCAGTCGCCGGAGGTCCAGACCATGAATGGCCACGTGGAGCTGTGTCCGTGGTCACCTTCACTGAAGAGCTTGACCCGAGAGAGAAGGCCACCACATGTTGATAGAACAACACACAAAAGGAAAGGAAAGGCGACGAGATACTACGGGGACCAAAGTCAGCTTTGGCTGGGGAGAAAACTTTCAAATTCACTTCATAGCTGGGGTGGGGGTGGGGGTTGATCAGGTTATATGACCTCGCCTGTGAAACAAGAACAGAGAGCCACGCTTTCTTCTGAGAGGTTCTATAAAGAAGACTACACTGATAAGCTGATGTGTCTAACTCAGCCTCTAGAATGTAAGGGCACCAACATCACGTGCCACCCGCGGTGCTGAGGGCATTTGTGGCATTACCTCATTTTCCCCTGACAACAACTATACGAGGTTGGTGCCGTTTTCACATAGATTTCATTGCCAACAGTCATGGAGGCAAATAATCCATCCAAGGTCCTGCCATTAGTTAGTGGCGGGTGGGTCCTACAGATTAATCCAGGGCTTTCTAAACTCTGTGTTCTCAAGGCAGTTCGTTCTCAGCCTCAAGAGCAGACTGGATGGCTGGAAAGATGGAAGGAAGAAACGATGGTGAATAACTGAAAGGGAAATAAGATTGACGGATGTAAGTAAGGAGGATCGACAGACGGATGAAAAGAAAGGATGGACAGACGGAAGACAAGACAAAAATGGAAGAAGGAAGGAAGGATGGATGGATGGATGGATGGATGGATGGATGGAGAGATGGATGGATAGTCGGGTCAACCAGTTAACCAAATCAATGGGGCTACTGTGAGTGAAATGAGTTGGGAATGCCAAGAACACACTCAGTTCTACCAATTACTCCCCCAAATTTAACTCAATCTGAACCGGGGGGTGAATGCTCCCAAGTAAAGGCCATATTCACAGTCTGAATTAACTACAACTCTCAAATGCAATGCCCTGGGTCTATTCTCTTACTCCTCCTACCCCGTGAAGAAGTCATCGGCAGGGGCAGTGCTCCCGCCCACCTCCACCAACTCCTGCCACTATTCTACCAAGAGCCACATGTCATTTAGAAGAGAGACTGGGCTCAAGATGTCCTCTGGGGTTTGTGTGACAATGGTAAGCAAGTGACAAGAGGTACAAGTCGGGGCTGCAGGCAGCCAGGGACCTGCGTGCCAGCATGGCGGCAGAAACAATCTTTCCCCTTTCGTGACACTGCAATAAATACTTGCTCTTCTCATCCCTAAGGACTGTTCCCCTTTCAAATGGAATGAAGGGTGGGAACGGCCTCCGTAAACTCGCACCCAACTCGTAAGGGCGGAAAGGGGAGGGATTACACGGTAAACGGTCCTCCTTGAACTGGTCTCCCGGAAGCCTGGGCTGGTTCAGCTGTTGCCACACATCCATAATGTGCTTTAACTACGGTTAGGGTTGGATCTGTTCTCATTTCAAACGGAGAAAGGAAGAAGGGAAGGCGGGTGGAGGGAGAGGGAGAGGGAGGTCAAATGGAAGAAGAACTGGCCCCTCTCTCCCGAGCCCGTCCTGGAGTTGCGCCGTCTCAGCAGGAATCTCGGGGGCAGGCTGCATGGATAAAGCTTCCAGCGCTAATGTGCGGGTATTAACTCACACTTATGTCTAAGCAGGGCTCTGCTGGGAGCCCATCTGTTCCCTCTGATGGCTGGGACACCCCATCCTTCTCTGGCTTCTCCCAGCTGTCAGACAGGCATAACACAACAGCAGATAAAACACCGAAAGGATTTTGTCCTTTTCTAGTGGCAGCAGAGGGGGACACGACGGAGAGCATAACCGAGCCACCAACGGCCACTTGTGCCTCTACCTCTGTACAGAGTTCCGGAGGGAGGGGCTTGCAGTGAGAGAAGGTCTAGAGCAATGAGTCAAGATCCAGGATCGACCTGATGCAGAAATCGACTTCTCGGGGATCTCTTCTTCCGACCCCCAGTGAAACACTTCACTACCCCCAAAGGGAAGACTGTTTCCTGTTGCGACAGCTCCGGGGGCAGCCAGATGAACCTCTCAGCCATCGCCGGCTCACTGGGGGACTCAGAGCTGAGACTCTCCCTTTTCCACCAGACAATCCTTGAAACTGGTGGGGCCACATGAAACTAATCAGAGAACTGATCTCTGTAGCACCAGAAATAACTTATACGTGTCCAGCAACAGGGCGTCAGGAAAAATCAATTACAGTGTATCTGTGCAGCGGCATTTTGTCCTGTCATGAAAAACAAATTACACAGAGGGGCGCCTGGGTGGCTCAGCTGGTTAAGCATCTGACTCGTGATTTTGGCTCAGGTCACGATCTCGCGGTTTGTGGCTTCGAGCCCCACGTTAGGTTCCGCACCGACAGCACAGAGCCTGCTTGGGATTCTCTCTCCCCCTCTCTCTCTCTCTGCCCCTCTCCCACTCGTACTCTCTCTCTCTCAAAATAAATACATAAACTTAAAAAAAAAATACAGAGCATTTTTTAACTAAAGGAGGAGGGCTCTGAGCTATCAAGTTACGTGGACAGATGAAAAATATACACGCAAAATGATCCGAATTTTGCTTAAAGGAAAAAACATGTATGCAACTATAAAAGGAGATTAGAAGCAAATAAAGCTTGTTTGTAAATTATTCTCTTATTCACCCGCATTTTGGCATTTTTATTGATGGGTGTGGATTATTTTGTACCTAGACGATGAGAGGTAATATATACCAGGGGTTAAAAACAAAACACAACAAAACAAAAAACTCCTCAAATATTTATGTCAGGTCCTGGTCCATTACTGAGGAGGGCACACGGCCCTTCTCCCCTCTGTGAATCTGAGTTTGGTTTGTTCGATCTCCCCAACCTGGGTTCACTGTCCGGACAACAGGCTCGTGGATAAGAAGCCCCTCGCCAGGCACACAGGGGTCCGACCTGGATCACCCGCTGGGGAGACCCACTGGGAGGAAAAGTTAGCCTGACGTGGACTTACGCCTCTGATGCTCTGTGCCCTCAGTCTCGTCCCCCCCAGCACCCTGGCAGGTGAGAAAAACCCCAGGCGCGTGCCCACGGCGGCAAAGGAGGCTCCCCAGGGAGCTCAGCGGGGCAGGGGCGAAGGGTACATACAGCTAGAGAAAGAGCCAGATAGATTCGACTGCCGCTGAATTACAGAAGCTCTGAAGCCCCTTTGAGGATGGCAGGAGGAAAGGGAAGACAGAAAAGGCATCATTCCATCCTCTTCCACCCAGGGTTTCCAGATGGGTGGAAAGGACGACCAAAAAGTCACACAATGTTTCACTTTAGGACAGAGCAGAGAACTATAATAATATACAATCAAGGACATAGATTAAAAAGTCCATCCACTGTTAGGCCGGTGGGATTATTTACGGGTGGGGAACTGGAGGGTCCAGTGCCGGTGCGGCAAACGCCCTGTGCTGATTGATATGTTTATACGTCTGCACACGCACACACGCACGTGTTCACACCCACACACGTACATGAACACACACTCTGTTTTCACCTCCTGCCTGCCCCCTCTGCCCGGGCCTTGAACTCCAGCAGAAGCCCGTGGCCTTTGAGGTCAGGCTCATCTAGATTCTGGTCCACGGTCTGTGCAACCGAACCCCTCCACGCCTGTGAACCCCGGTGTGATCTAACCCCCGGGGGTTCCTAGTTTCCTTGCACGCAAGCCCTGATGTGCAAGCACCGTGTATAGACAGTAACGCGTCCACAGTGTGAGCGCATGTGACGGTGGGGTGGGGGACAAGCAGGAGGCGGGGGACGAGGGGGTAGTAACAGGCCACAGAGGCACCTGCCCTCCGCCTGGGGAGGGGTGGCAGGTGGGGCTCACCTGGGAGATCTGCGGGAGGCCACCGCAATCCGCCATCTAGGAGAGAGGGAAGCTGGTTAGTGCCAGACGCCCCAGAAGAGGGGTACCCCCAAGTGGGCGCCCTCCTGCTGCTGCCCTGCCCCCACTCTGGGCACATTACAGGCGGGGAAACACCCATCCCCACCGAGCCGGGCCGCTCTGGTTACAGTCCATCTCGGCACTGACCTGTGCCTTCCTGACGGCCGACACCGGGAGAGAGCTCAAAGCCCTGGCGAGGCTCTGGCCAGGGTCCGTCTGACCCGAAAGCCTTCACTGCATGAGGCCCTGTTTGCACATTCTCTTTACTCCCTCAGAAAGAAACGGCTCCATCTAAGAGGCCTAATGGTCTCTTCACCGGTCACCCTGGTAAATGCCGCGGCTTCCAAAGTTCCTACTGACTCACCAAAGCTAAAGCTGCCACCTCTCAGTCAAGGCTGCCACGGGCACGTGTGACTATTAACCGGGCCCAGGGCTCGGGAGACCCCGGGCGGCAGGGTGGGATGGGGTGAAGGTGGCTTGGAGAGACGGAGGTCTGGCAGGCGTGTGTGACAGCGGCCGAGGCCAGGCCATCCCAAGGCCCTGAGTCTTAAGGCTAGACCCTGAGGCCTAGCTGAGGGACCTAACTGAGGCACCCTGGGTAAGGGAATGCAGGGACGGGACGCCAGAATTTAACTCCAGGGCCCAGGCAGCCGGGCAGAGGAGTGCAGCGGGGACAGTCTGTCTGGAGTCGGGCTGAAACGGGTTGGATCCCCATCCACCATCACATCGGCCACTTTTTCTTAGGTCACCTGCCCTCTGCAGACGGAATGAGTTAAGATTAGGGTGGACCCTAAATCCAACGACCGTGGTCCTTAAAACCAGCGGGATATTGGGACACAGAGACACCCAGAGGAGAAGGCTGGGTGGCACGGAGGCAGAGATGGGACTGAGGTGGCCGCAAGCCAGGGACACCCTAACTTTGGACTTACAGTCTCCGGATGGGGAGACAACAGTCTCCTGTGACTTTCAGCCACCCAGCTGGTGGTACTTGTTATGGACACCAGGAGACCAACCCACCCTTCTAGAATGTTCCTTCCCCCTCTCCCTGTCAGCAGTGACTGTGGCCTGTCCATCTCTGTCCTGGGACAGCAGCCCGGATGCTGTCGGAGTCCAGGCAAACAGGTGTGTTGGGGTAACTCAGACAAAGGGGCTCCCGCCTTAGCCCATCAGCGGCCCCCTCAGGCCCGAAGCCTGCCATCTTCCCGTCTTGCAATTTCCTGGTGAGGGAATCTTGGAAGAAAATGTGTGTAAAGAGCCAGTTACGGGGACCAGGCCCCCCTCCTCAGTAAGCATCAGACGCCTCCCGGGCTGGATTGTGCGGTCAGGTCAGGGAGGGCTCACACCCCCCACCCGGCCTCAAGGCCTAGGGAACTTGCTGGAGATGTTCTTCCACGGTCCCTGGGGGGGTGGGGGGGGGTGGGGAGGCGTTTTCTCCTCTCCCACAGGCGCCAGCCCCTCTCGGAGGAAATGCCCCAGCCCCACCCTTGGCACAGCCCCTGCCCGCACAATTCTGGGCCATCCCTCATCAGAGCCACGGACTCTCGGGGTCCCAGAGAGGGTCCCTTTCGTCTTCACAGCCTCAGTGTCCAGCCAGCGCCCAGCAGAGAGACGTCTGTGAACGCATGCACGTGAAATCATCATTTCTACGCTTTCTGACCACCAGCTCTGCCTCAGTTAGGCACGACTCAATCTTGCGGCCGACCAGGGGTTCCTAAGAAAGAACTCGCGCCAACCCCCCCCCCCCCCCCCCCCCCCACTGTGTCGGTACCTTGAGGAGAGTCGTCTTTGTTGGATCCAATTTCGAGTTGCACTCCACCTGGACGGGGAAAAGGGGAAGAAATGTGCTAATTTTCTATCTGGAGCCCCAGTCCTAGTCTTTCCCCCCTCCTCACTTCCCTGCCACCGGCATCAACGATCCCAGCGTTCCCACTAGCATGCAAGGAAGAACGTGAGCTTCGAGATTAAGCAAGGCGGCCGTAAATTCCAACCTTGTGGTGCAGCGACCTCGGGCAATTTCTTTGAGCCTCAGTTTCGTCGTCAATAAAACGGGGGGAATGTCTTTTTCAAAGGGTTGTTATGAAGACTCGCTAAAACCCAGAGGAGGCTCTGGAAAGAGCTGCTACTTCAATGGCCCTGTTTCACCAGTCGCGGCCGCAGATGCTACAAGTTCAACATCTCCAGTCCTGACCACCATGCAGACTGGGATCCACTATAAGCTGCTTCCCCTCTTCGCGTTGTCAGTGACCATCTTAGCAGTGCATCCAAAATTGGGCAAAATGCCCACACGTAACCTGTGATGTTCGAAGTGCCTACCGGAGAGCTATCCCCTCCTCTGATGTGAGAAGTGTATCTCTACTGATGCATCCTATGATTACGCCCAGTGGGTTAGATCACAGGACGCCCACAGTCCATTAAGACGTCTCAGCTCTTTGCCAAATGAGCCTTTGCAAATCTCACTCTGCAGCCCACTGCACGAGGCACATCACCACTTTAGGACTCTGCTCAGTAGCCCCTAAGTCCCTCTGTCCCCCCGCTAGGGGCATGTTGGAAAGGCAGTCTTTGCTTTGCCTCCACAACATCATAGGTGGGAATCAGGGGTGGAATGACCCAGAAGGCGTTGTCTAAGCCCCACTCCCCAGTGTCTCTGTGCCCCGCCAGACAATCAGGCGCCAACCAGGTCTGCAAACGGGTTCCCAGACCAGAGCCGAGTGTCTTGGCCAGGAAGCCAAGTGGCAAACACGTCCGTGGAAACAAACGAGTGGGAGGCAGACGGGCAGGTGATGGGGCCTGGGAGAAAAGTCGGAGGGCCCCGCTACCAAGCAAACAGGGCTGGCAGTCACCGGGCCAAGGAGCCGGGGTCTGGGCCCTCTGTCCAAAGGCCAAGCAGATTTGGACTGTTGAACAAAGTACAGAAACAAGTGAACGATTTCTACATACCACGGCGTCCACAGCAGGAGAACTGTCCCCAACCACCAACAAAGCAGGACACCTGGGGGCAGGGAGAGAAGGGGGGAGGGAACACGAAATTCACTGAAAGATTCACACGCTCCCAGGCCCGCCAGGCTGGGACCAGGGTTCCAAAAAAAAAATTATTCTGGTTTCCCCCGTAGTAGCCTCTGCTCTTTTTATTTCTTTCTCCTTTCATCCTCTGCTTTGCTTTTCGGATAAACTGGGTTGGCAGTCCTTTACACCCTAGTATGAATTTCAGCCAGAGAATTTCCGTGCCCTGGTGTTTTTAGCCTCAAGCATCCTCTCCTCAAAGAGGGAGGAGTAGGACTTTGCCGTGAATCAAGATCAGAGACCGAGGGAACGTACCTGACAAAGGAGATGGCATGTGGCAAGTTCAGGTATCAGATAATACAGTTCACTTAGGAAACTGTAAAAAGGCAGACATTACTGGGGGAATGCAGTCAGCTGTATGCACGACCGTATTTTCCTGCCAGCCTTTGGGGGGGTTGTCCTGCGTCTGACTCGTCTCCAGGGTGTGTGAAAGCAAAGCCTAACACCGTATCCGACACAAAGTAGGTGCTCAGTAAGTCCTATCCGAAGCGGACTCTTTCCCTGACATCCAAGGCTCCGACCCTCGTCTCAGGGACACCCCAGGAGCTCAACGCCTGCACAAGGAGAAGGCAAGTGAAGCTGGGTCACGCCTGACTCCTAGAAGAAGGCACCCCCGGGCTCGCCGCCGCCGATGTCCCAGCACCGGGTGGCACTGCTAACCAAACTCAGAAAGAGCCCTGCCGGTGGCCGAGCGAGGCTACGCAGATGACGAACAGGAGAAAATCTACTCACTGCAGGGTGACTGTGTGGGCTCCGGGCATGGGCCGCTCAATCTCCAGGTCTCGCCGGCTGCGGGCAAGGAACGCACAGTCACTCGGCGACACGGGCAGACGCCCCCGCCCCGGAGGCGGCCCCTCCCATCTCGGCCATCCCAGGGGGTCCCGTCGTTGGCCATTCTGGCAAACGACCCGTGTCCCAACCCGCACGGCTCTCGGGACATCACGGCCTCTTGGGGTCCATATCAATGGTTTCAGGGACAGCGGGACTCATGTATTTCCCGTGGAGACACTTCCTTGTCCCCAGTGTGGCTTTTTTTTTTTAATACATATACATATAGGAATACAGACCATGTTCTCCACCACAGAGGGTCCATACCTCCCGTCCCCCTACTTGGAGCCCTGAGTCTCTCTAGCCCCAACTCGGAGTCCTCTCACACAGCAACCCAGATCTCTTTAGATCTTAGATGTGATCCTTTCACCCCCCCTCATCTCAAACCCTGCCACCGTTTCCCACTGGACTCTGTCCCTGCGGACCTACACCGAGCCCCTCTCTCTCTCTCTCTCTCTCTCTGTCGTCTCCTGGCAGCTCCCACCGACGGCCTTTCCAGCTCATGGCCTGGAGCCCCGGACAGATTCAAATCACGTCCCTCTACGTCCTAGCTGTGTGACCTCGGGCAGGATGCTGAATCTCTCTGTGCCCGTGTTTCCTCAGCAGGAAAGGACGATGGTCACGGTGTCCCAGCATTTTTAAGAGAAGCCCCTTGATTCCTACGGGCATCGTGAGGGCAAGGCAGTGGGTGGGGCTTCGGGGAGGGTGTTCTGGTCTCTGTGTGTCCACTGCCCAGCCCACAGCCTGACCGCGCCCGTCCTCAGGAAGCGTCTGCTGAAGAAATGCGCTGCTGAGTCCCACGTCCCTAGTTACCCACGGGGGATACTACATCTCCCCCTCCCGCACTGAGAGGCTGGGCGGGTGGGAAGAAGAGACGGACGCTGAACTTTGTTACAGACACTAATGCCCTTCGTGAAGTTATTGGCGGCCCCTGTGGCTCCTTCCCGCCCCCTGCTTGGGAAGGGGGCTGGTAGAGCCGGTCCAGCAGACTGAGTGACCACGCTGGAGTCTGCAGACTGTCCCCCCAGCTGCCACCGGTGTTCCCGAGCTGTCCCCTCCCCTGGCCGAGGTCCAAGCCAGCAGCTACTTATCGTGAAGAGGCCTAGCCCCTTGCCCAAGGCTGGAGGAACGTGCTCTTTCTTGGACACCTCCCAGCAGCCTTCCTGGACTCCTCCCTCCCCTTCCTCCCCCAGGGCTCTGCTCGCTCGCTCGCTCACTCTCTTAGCTCTCCCACACCTGGCCCTTCCCACGGCCAGCCGGGACACCGGCAATAACTCAAAACCCTTTGAGGGCGTGATTGCGTCTCCCCTCTTCGTGCTCGCGCCCCGGTTGTCTGGAGCGGTGGCTCAGCGCCTTGCAGAGCACTCAAAACCCGCGGATGTACCTGACTCCCAGGCGCACCCCTGTCCGGGTAATCTACTCGCTTGAATTCAGGGGCTGCAGCTCCTCCTAACTTTATAACCCCCTCTGCCTTACCCCTGCCCCGTTCCAGGCCAACAAAAGGACCTTGACAAATGGCCACCGCGTGACCGCACCTGTTGTAGGCATTGATGAACAGGTGCAGGTTGCCGGGGTTCATGTCTTTCACGATGTGCTGGCGGTAGGTGTGGACGACTTCCACGTTATTCTGCATTTCCTCCTGCGTTGAGAGAGGGGGGAGGTGCCCTGCATTAGGACTGGTCCCGGGCCAGCCACTGCTATCTCCGTTCTTCAGGTTTATACAGGTACAGAGACAATACCGTCTAATCCACTCGACCGCCTTGGAGCCTGAGGACACCTTCCCCAAAGCGGAAGTCTGACTTTGCATATCAGCTGAGAACAGGAAGGAGTACAAACCCGCCAGGGCAAAGCAGGCCCTTCTGGGCTCATGACTTTGGGACTTTTTATTTGAAGTCAGTCCTCTTGGATTTGGAGCTTGGATCCATCAGTGTTTTGGTTGTTTTTTTCTTTTTTTCTGGCGGGGGGTGAGGGACGGGAGTAAATGTCTTCACCTCTCTGAGCCTTAGCCCCCTCAAAAATAAATGTGTGTGTGTGTGTGTGTGTGTGTGTGTGTATTACCTACCTCTGCAGGTTATGGGATTTCACAGAGGTTGTGCACACAAAAGCCCTTTGTAAATAATAAACGTGATGCAACCGTTAGCAATTAATGGTTTTAAGGGGGAGTTGAGAGGTTTTTGACGCCGGAAAAACAAAACCAACTCCCGCAAGTCCCGGGAAGTTGCTGGAAAGAAGGGCCATCTCAATTCCCGAGGGGGGCCAACCGGAGTCTTGCAGAAGCTGCAGCCTCCCCTCTCTCTGGTTCCCTTCCGAATGTGATTTGGGACAAACAAACAAGTTACGAGCTTGCTCTGTTTCTCATTTGTATGACAGCGGATGCTGAAGGTTTCACAAAGCGGCCTGATGTGATCAGTGGCGACCAGAGCAGGACAGGGAGGGAGCGGAGGGGGCCCCCACGTCAAGCCCGAGCTACTGTCTAAACAGCCCCTGATCACTGAAGCAGCAAAGAGGCCAAGAGCCTACGCAAAAGAAAATCGGGAACTGTACAGTCTGAAGAATTAGCTGTGCTGGGGTTTCAGGTCAAAACACAACCGCGGCAAGTTGGGGGCATCGACAGATGCCTCACATCGCGTGGGGTAGAATCAGGCCAGACTCTCCCTCTGTACCTGATGCCCTCTCCCGCAAGGAAACTCACAGGCTGGCTCTGTTTGTTTCCATATTCCTATCAGGTTCAGATTATACACTCAGGGTGAAGAAAATGTATCACAAACCAAATGCAGCACGGAAGAGGGAAGAAGGCCACCGAGGGCTGCAGGGGGGGCCACGAAGGCTACGTCCCCGTCGAGACCCCGGGGAAGTGTGAAGGCTACCTTCTTCGGGAAAAAGGTCTCTGTAGATATCATTAAGTGAAGGGTCCTGAGGTGAGGTCATTCTAGATTATCCCAGTGGGTCCTAAATCTAATGACAAGGGTCCTTCTAAGACAAAGGCAGAGGGAGACTGGAGACAGACGCGGAGAGGTCATCGAAGACGGAGGCAGAGCCTGGAGGGATTCTGAAGCTACCAGAAGCTGGAGGAAGCAAGGAAGGACTCTCCCTCCAGGGCCACTGGAGGGAGTGTGGCCCGGTGACACCCCCTTTCAGAGTGCTGGCTTCCGGAACTGCGACACAGTTAAGTTCCTGTTGTTGCAAGCCTCCCGGTTTGGGGGGGGCTGTTACAGCAGGCCCAGGAAATAATGTGGAAAAGGAGCCCAGTGGATGCACCTGGCCAGCCCCAGAGGAGAGCAGCCGGTCACATCTCAGAAGGTCACTCTCCCGCTCGGGAACAGACAGTGCTGAGTGGGCCACACGGTAAACAGAGCAAGCCACCCTCGAGCTGGGCAACCAAGGGGCTTCTCGGTGTCTGGGCCTGCGTCAGGACCCCTGCACATCCTCTCCTGGGGCTGCCGGCCAGAGTCGGGGGCCATGCCGGCTGGCCAGGCAGGGACAGGGGCCTGCCCGGGGCGACCACAGAACAGCCCATGAGTAGAAGCACAGACGGTCAGTGCCCTGCTCTGGATACAGGAGCAAGACACATAGCCTCTGATCCCAGCCCCACCTCTCCCTGGCTGTGCAACCTCACACGAGTCAGTCAACCTCTCCGGTCTCAGTTTCCTCATCCATAAAGTGGGAATCAAATTAGTACTTTTCACATGGCTCACGGAGCTCTTGAGTGGACTCCATGGGTTAATACTTGAAAAGTCCTTAGGACCGAGCGGGGCACACAGCAAACTCCATGGGTGTGTCTGTTACAGGTCGTATCTGTAATAGCCCCAGACTGGCAATAACCCGAATGCCCATCGACAGGCGGACGGAAGGGCAAATCGCAGGACACCCACACACAGAACGGCAGCCAGCGCTAAAAAGGAGGGAACTACCGACAAACCCAACGACAGAGACGAAGGTCAAAATAACCGTGCGGCGAGAGAAGCCACAGCTGTTTTTTGGGTTTTGTTTGTTGTTCTTTTCAAGCAAGACTCCATACTTCATCATGCCACTTCTATATGAAAACCTGGGGAATGCGAACTCCTCTCTAGTGACGGAAAGCAGAGCAGAGGCTGCCTGGCGAGCAGGGAAAGAAGGATTAGCAAGAGGCACAAGGGGACTCTGGTGATGGGGATGTCCGCTACCCCAGTTGCAATGTGGTTGTCCGGGTGTAGACACGCGGCAACATCTACTCAATTCTGTATTCCCAATACGTGCAGTTTACTATAGTTCAATCAGGCTAGTTAAAACAGCCTTACGTTAAAAAGAGAGCGAGCGATACGGGGGCGCCTGGGTGGCTCAGTCGGTTAAGCGCCCGACTCTTGATCTCAACTCAGGTCATGCTGTCATGGTTCGTGAGTTCGAGCCCCGCATCGGGCTCTGCGCGGACCGCACGAGACCGCTTGGGATTCTCTCTCTCCCCCTCTCCCTGTTCACCCACTCGCTCTGTCTCTCAAAACGAAATAAAAATAAACTTGAAAAAAAAAAAAAGGTGAGCGATAAACCTGACTGTAAACCGATCCCGTCAGCTATGTACGTGGTAGGCATCCCCAGGGGGCTTGTGTCTTGCTCGTCTCTGTGCCCTACGCACGAGCAGCACGCACTCGCTCAGCGTGGATGACAGAATGCTGGTCCACGTTACTCACCTTCCCGAAGAGGTGGGATACCACCATGTCTGGGAGGGCTTGGGTCCATCCGGAGATCTGGGGAGGGCAAAGACAGGTGTCACTAGAAAGCAGGCATTTGCGGTAGCGAGACTAGGTCAGCAAAGCCTCCCTGCCCGCGGGGGCAGACTGGAAGTCCTGGGCTCCCCGGCACTCAGGGCTGAGGACGGCCCCCTTGTGGGAATTTGGTTCCAGTCCCAGTTGTGGACTGGACCTGGGGGCTCCGGAAGGCAGGGCCTGGGTCTCTGTCAATCGCTTATTCTCAGGGGCCCATGCAGGGCAGACACGTGCTGAACAGAGAGCCAACCTTCTCCTAGCTTGGGCCATAGCACACTAAGTCCTCACCACGAGGGGCCCCTATCCATTTCTTCAAAACACACACTGAACTCTGCCAGTCTAGACCCCAGGGGACCTGCTCACCTTGAACTAGCCTTCCTGTATCATCCTCTACATTTTCCCCCTCAAGCCAGTATCCTCTCTTTGGATATCCTGAGGTTACTAAACACACTGCCAACTCTCCCCTCTCTACCTCTCCCCAACAAAACGCTAGGTACACAGCAGGAGCTCCATAAGTGATCGGCATACAGCAGGGGCTTCATAAATGCTGAGGCATACAGCAGGAGCTCCATAAATGTACGCGGACCAACTTCCGTGTCAGGCAGGCAGGGACTGGCAGGACAGAGAAGTTCTAGACCTGGGGGTTCTCTAGATCGGAGGTCTTGTTGGATCCCAGCTGTGTGGTCCTGGACAGGTTGCAGAGCCTCTGAACCTCAGGCCTCTCACCTACAAGCCGAGGTGGCCGGGGGCTTCAAAGTCACAAGGCCAAGGTGAGGACAGCATGAGGCCCGTACACATGTCACAGGATCTGACGCCAGCGCCTGACCCATAGTGGACTCTGGATACAGGTCTTTTTTTCCTCTTGGGGTTGGAAAGGAAGGATACGGTACAGATACTAGAGCCACACAGACATTCCTCAGGCCGCGCTTTAGCCAACGGTCAATGTCCCCGGCCCTCCACGTCTGGCTCAGAACAGTTACAACAGGAGCCAAACTGGCTGACTGGAACATCACTTCCTTTCCTGGAAAATAAAATATAAAACGGAGTGTGCTCCACTCCCGCATATCACGCAGACGGGAGGGGCGGGCTCCTGCGTTCCGGCAGAACGTTCCAGGGAGAGCGGCCAAGACAGGGGTGGGAGGTAGGGGGGAGGGGCACAACCCCTTCAAAGCTCTGTCCGCGACAGCCACCCAGAACTTGGCAAAAACACACTTCCAAAATGAGAAGCCAGGATCACCCCGGCCTGAGAGGTTTTGTCCTGTTTCAATTGGAACAATTTCCCCCTCTCCTTGGCAAATGCTGGCGCCTTTACGAAGAAAACACAACAATCGTTTTTGAAAGATAAACAAGGAGCCCTAGGACACCGGCCAGAGCAGAACTTCCCGAGACAGCGTGGGTCCCTTCTCCCCCAGGCAGGCCTGTGTCCGGCCCCTCTGTATTCCCAGACCTGCAGTGCTGGGGTCAGGGTGCCGTTCAAACACCTGCTGGATGAGACCGGGAGGCACGAGGTGAGGCCCAAGGACCACAGAGTACGAGGGATCCGCACTCAGCCCCAGTTCTCCCGCTGCCTAGCTTTGCGGGCCCCTGGGCACCACGAACCGTAACCACTCTGAGCCTCAGTTTCCTCTTCTATAACACGTCATTTACGACAATCCCACCTCCTGGAGTCGCCGTGTGGATTCAACGAGGTCACGCACGTACAGCGACAGAGAGTACAAACAGCCCCTGGCAAGGACTCCGCGCACAGTAGCTGATTCTCGCGGTCATCAAACTAAGTGGCAGGGTTGGTACCAAATGCACCCTCTTTTCCATCGACAGTAGGTGGGTTCCCGAGATCAGAGGCCTTTGCCTTGTTCATCTTTTTGTTTCCCGTGTCTTGAGCAAAGTCCAGTACGTGTTAGGTCCTCAGCAAATACCTCTTAACCTAAGCTACGCTGATCTAAGCTGGCTCGAGCGCTCACGTCCCCGTGGCGTGTCTGGTCTAGACCGCAGCATCCTACCAACATCTTCGGAAGGGCAAACAGCCCAGGTCACGTTTGTTGTTCCAAGCAAAGCAAAGGGGAGGGGCGGGGCGCACAGGCCAGGAGAGGTCTCGGAGGGCACACTGTTCCACCTGCCTGGCCCTGGCCCCCAGCCTCACCTTGGACGCGGCCCAGTCCATCCAGCCTTCGGCACAAGGGTTCACGTTGATGAGGACGAGGCCCTCCACCATCTCCGGGTTGTTCAACTGTTAATTCAAGACACAAGGTGAGCGGCAGCCCAGAAATCTCAGCCACCGCGACCTTCTAAAGGTCACACCAAAGGTTGAGAAAATACCAGGAAAGGGCCCTGGTGGGGGCCACCAGAGCCGGCTGCTGCTCTCAAGAGACTTCAAATCCCACACCCCCCCTCCCCCACCTTGCAAAACCGAGGCCCCAGCTCAGCAGACACAGGACCGAGCCCCTGAAAGCCTGGGGGGGGAGGAAGTAGGAAGTACAAGAGTGCGTGTTTGGCAAACCTGCCCCGGGCAAGGCGCCTCTGCCCGCACTTCCTCTTCCTCAGCCATCAGGGGGGTGTATCAGACCTCCAGCCTCCAAGTGAGGCAGGGCAGGTAGCCGCTCTTTAGTGACCACTCCTGGGAGATACATCCATCTAACGTAGAATACAGACCTTCCTTGGTCTGCTCAGAGCCTAGACGGTCAGGCCACGTTCTATCCACACCAGCGTCTCTAACCGCTGACAAAGCCCAGCAAATCATGGGCGGTCGGAAAACCCACGGTCGCATAAATGAGCGTGGCTGCGTTTCCAAACGAGTGTTTGGCAAGGGTACATGACATTCAGCAGCACCTGGCTTGGGCCCACGGTCCCGTGAATGCCATGTGTCTCTGATTCTAATACAGAACCAGCCAGGACCCAAAAGCCATGGGGGTATCACCGAGGTAGCATAGGAGACCACGCGGTGACGTGGGGACCTGTCCACAAGCCACTGCTAGGTGAGCGAAACCAGTGATGAAAGAGTGTGTTTGAGGAGCATTCAAGAAAAGCTTTAGGGGCGCCTGGGTGGCTCAGTCGGTTGGGCGTCCGACTTCGGCTCGGGTCATGATCTCACAGTCCGTGAGTTCGAGCCCCGCGTTGGGCTCTGTGCTGACAACTCGGAGCCTGGAGCCAGCTTCGGATTCTGTCTCCCTCTCTCCAAAATAAATAAAAACATTAAAAAGATTAAAA